TTAAAAGCTTACGGAATTTCCTAAAAAACAAAAATAAATCGTTAAAATTGGACAATCAGGAGCAAAGATATGGTCTTCAGTTCTTTTTTATATGTTCTGCTCCAAATGTTATACCGTTTGTTTGGTTTTTAAATTGTTTATGTGTTATTGAAGTAATGCTATTTTTTTTAGCATATTACTAATGATTAAAAATAAGAAAGTTCAGTCCAGTAATTGGAATCACCTTTTATTTATTTTTATTTTTAACAAGAAAGGTAATGTTACTTTAGATATATAATTTGCAGCGTTTTTCATTCGGGCTTAATTAGGTTTTCCTATCTGAAAAATTACAGTAATATGTCTGTAGTAATAAGCTAATAGGTAACTGCAAGACTGTTGCAAGACTCTACGCAAGACCAAGAGCAAGATTGAGAAAATTGATTATTATTTATTAAAAACAATGAAGACGGTTATAAAACTTAAAGCGGACGGTGCAAGCGTTTTCCAGGTTACTGTGCTATAACGAATTACAAGGATAGCACTGTGGTGGGAATTCAAACTTAGACAAAGTATCGGAATGTGGGACTTTCATAATGTAAGAAGCCTAGAGGATTTTCTTTTTCATAAAGCGACATCTAACTTAGATACTGTCCTTAGAGAGACTGTTGAGATAAAAATTATATGGACAGAACAAAGGAATGAGAATCGGGAAATAAAATCAATTAAATTTGAGATACAATGGAATTCATGTAATGAAGAACGTATAAAACTTTTTTTTTATACATGTTTTAAATAACAGCAAAAGGTCATATTTAACTAAAAAAATGAAATAAAAGTACTTCTAGCAGGTGTGGTGAGGATTGCGGTGTGACCTAAGACCACGGTAGCGTGACGTGTAACCAATCAAAGTGTCTCTGAGCTCTACTTTATAAATATACTTATATAAAAGCTAAAAAAAAAACAACTTCAGAGTAAACACACTTTTTTAAAGAGAAAAAATGGAAATATATTTCTTGGATAGATATTTTGAAGCTGGAAACATGAGTATAAATAAATAAATATAAGAAACACAGAGCTATGAGCTTGTCGCTGATACATGACGTCATTTTGTCGACACTCTCATGACGTAGCTTCAACCACACCACTTTTCTTTATCTCTTATTATCTTTTTGAGTACGCATTAGATAAAATTGAAACTTTTTTTTTTACAAACTAATCTTTCATTGAGGAATGAAAATCGCTAGTTTATGAATGTATCCAATCCGGTGGTTTATAATAAATTAAAATATCTATATTTTGTGGTTGAAAAATGATTTAAGAGTAAAACCTGCTCAATAAAACATAACATTCATACACATACACATGGTACCACAATATATTTGAACTTGAAATAAAAACATTCATGACAAAGATTATGGACATATTTGCTGATATAAAAAGGGTCACGATACATATGCCATAAAACACTCGTTGAAAGCTGAATAGATGCTGGTTAAAAGATCATCTGAGTAAATTCTTATTCATATGTCGACTTTATCAGTTAAAAAAACATCCACTTACTTAATGTCGCAGTATCTTGAATCTTAATATAATTTGATCACAGAATCAAGAAAAAAAAATGAGGCGTACCTTAATATTGGGTTATTTGGCCTACATGACCTGGCCATGCCAAATGGCTCAATATTTTTGTAGGTCATTATTAGGCCACTATTAGTGATAAAATTACTTTACGATTCAAGTGGAAAGCAAATGGGTATTCATGATTGTCAAGTATTAGTAAATATTTTGCCGTAATTTTTATTTACATAAACTATTTTTGTTTTTGTCTTGGTCTTGGAACTGTCTGGTGGTCTTGGTCTTACACTTGGCAACCGATTTTGGGCAACACTAAGCACCAACCAGCCCTATAATCCTCTAAGAAGGTTGAAGCAGCAGCGGCCCCGTGTCCTTTTCTAGTATAGATATATTGGAATTACTTTACGATTCAAGTGGAAAGCAAATGGGTATTCATGAGTTTTTAGTACCTCATTAAAAAGACATAGTTTATCGATCTCTATATTAAAAACGCAACCGAATTCCAGGTCTCTTCGTAAATAGGAAGACTTTAAAATAAAATAAAGGCATTCATGAAGTTTTGGACGGATGAAGTTTATGCAAAACCGCGTTGAGTATTTTGTCTAGTATTTTGGATTCCTGCTCTGTTCTTCCGAAAGTAAACGTATTAAACACACAAAATCATATTAAAAACCGTTGTGATGAATATCTAGTATGTGATGTATATATAGCTACTGTTAGTGCAAAAAGTCGTTTGTAAAAATTGAGTTTCTTACATAAAACTTATTATTTAATTATGATTTATAAGTGTAATTTCATATTTTATTTCCCTATCCTATTTTTCATATTAGCACACTATTTATTGCAGTTTAAGACCACAAAATATCACATTTAGCATAAATATGATTAAAATATAAAATATTTACATAAGACCTTTTGCATAATCATTAGCGATTATTAGCTAGTGACCTTAATTATACTTAAAAGTTGGAAGAAGTGGCTGAATTCAACGGAAAAAATAGGAGTTCTCCAGTAATTGAGGTAGTATAGACCTGGTGGTTTTTATCGATGACTCAAAGACCTCATAAACTGCCAATCAACCCTCTGATTAGATTTGGATGTGATTTGAGTTGATTGTGCGCAAAAATTCGATAAAAGGGGAAGCCGAGCAAAAACGACGGCTGTAGAAGAATAATGTTGGAGCAATTCTGTAACATCATGCCACGAGGGGCGCAAAAAAAAAAAAAAAAAAAAAAAAAAAAAAAAAAAAAAAAAAAAACAGTGAATGACTAGAAGTTAATAGATAAAAATCTCGAGATAACAAATTGCAATTTCTCCAGCTCAAACACAACGTATATTGTCCTAGACAAACATACAAGCTAAGTAACGGCAAGTAAGTATTAAATGGAGGAACGAGAAGATAAGAGAGGAACTGAATATAAGGTCTGTAAAATAAGTAACAGAGGAGCGCCAGCTGAAGGGATATGGCCATGAGTACTGGTTGGATGATAACCGAAAGGCAAAATGGTTCCTAGAAGCAAACCCAGATAAATGGCGACCTAGAGGCCGGCTCAGGCTGTTGTACGGTGACTGCAAGGGGAGATTTGGGCGAGCCAGAGGTGGTGAATATGAGGAGGGTCAATGATAGCAGTGGAAGAGATTGACCGAGGCTGTTCCTCCACGCTGATGGCAATAAGGAGGTGGCAAAAGAAGAAGAAGAAGAGATATTTTAAATCATGTCCTCAATAAAACTCGTTATAATTTGCTTTGTTTGTTTAGGCTTTAAGGTGTAAAACCCTATGGTTTTACTTTAAGGTGTAAACCTTATGGTTCATCAACGCATGTGAGTCAGTTATTTTTGTTTTCTGTTGATTTCATAAACTCTTGAACAGAGAGAAAAAAATGAATGAATAATAAAGAAATAATAATGAATAGATATAATAATAAATGAAATTGTTTTCAAAATTGGAGATCGTCGCACATTGGAGATCTGGTGGCTCAATCTAATCCACTTTCCAAAAAAAAAGTGCAAAATGCGCCTTAAAAAGTGTTTACTTCAAAAAATCCAGGTATGGCTTCTGTACTCTCAAAAATAGACTTCTATACTCTTAATAAGTAAGAGATTCTGGAACTCAACTGGAACAAACCAACGTTCTGGAAATAGTATTTAGCTGATGTCGGTTTTACGTCGAATTAAAAAGAATTATAACAATGTAACGCGAGTGTCTTGATTGGAATATTTTAGTTAATTATAAAAAAATCTCATTATTATTAATGAACTTTTTTTTTTCTATTACTATCTATCCGCACCTGTCATGGTATTGACAATCAGCAGATGTGTTGTAATGATGAGGATTGGCAGTATAATTAGGAGGAAGGATAGAACCCAGCAGCACCTCTTCCTGGTCATTATTTATTTCATTGATTTAGGTGAGGAGATCTCTCATCCATCTCCTTTTTAGTCTCCTCCTAATGAGCATGTCAGACGTAGCCATGTCGTTTATAAGTCTGTTGCTGTGTCCGTGTAGTTTGAGATGAAAACGAGAGTAGAGAGTACGTATGTGTTGGTCTGTAGTTGGTTGTCGTAAGTCGTTATGTGAAGTTCTGTTGTTGACGTACTAGAGAGCTACTGTTTAGTTTTTGTTCGTTTTTCGAACTTTCAATTTCGATTTAGAAAAATGTGAGTACAGTATTTCCAGTCGCTTGTTTAAGGTCTGTCGTTTCATTTTGACGTGTGGGCCTCAGGTCATCTTCTGTCGAATATTAGTCCCAGGTAACGTACTGTGTTTTTCTGAGGAATTTGGTTATGTCCTATATAAACTAGTGGGCACGTTTCTCGCCAAAGTGTAAATGTGTTGTAACTTGTCATATACATGTATTAACATATTTATATATCCCCGAATTGAAGAAAACTCCAACAAAAAAACTTACAATTTTCCATTTTTGCATAATTTATTCAGCAATACTACCAACAAGCAGTAGTCTGAGCTTCCAGTTAATTACAAAAGACTCATATACATGACTACAATAAGACTTATTTGGACTTACAGAGTGGAGCTTTGGAGCTGCACTAAGCCATCGAATTCCTCTCGTATGAAATCCTCACAATCCAAAATCCTTCGGAAAATCCTCAATGCTCCTTACTTTGTCACCAGTAAAAAAATCCATAAAGACCTTAATATTCCTTATGTTTTCGATTTGGTCCAATCAAGATACCTATCCTTCCATAATAAACTTCAGAACCATCGGAATCCTCTCGTCTCTAACCTTGCTTCCTCTTCTATCCCTGATAACCTTCCGAATCGTGTGAAAAAAATATGGCCTCGAGATCTCCTATTGTAAATAATTTTTTTTTTTTTTTTAGAGTGCTACCAGTGGGTAGTTTCTCAACAAGTGATTTCATGTAATTATTTCCTGTTATCAAATTTACTAAATGTATTTTATTTATTAATACAGTTGTAAATGTCACGCATTAAAAAAAAAAAAAAGAATGTTACTATTTTTTTTCTTCAAAATGCCGATTTGTTTTATCTGAAAAATATATATTCTAAATAATATATTTACATGCATATTTAATCTAATCGATATTGAACAGTCCATTAAATAAATAAATAAATTTTATGATCTCATTGAAATGTCTTGAGTACTATAGCGATCGCATATGGACGCTCAGATAAATAGCGGTTGTTCCGCTGTATCGTTACATTGAAGTGTTGGCCATCATGGACGGAAGGAAGGCTGTGGAAGAAGATAAACCATCGCATTTGAGGGCTTATTTGATAGTCCTCGCTGGTTAGTAATCACACATAGCAACTATATATATATATATATATATATATATATATATATATATATATATATATATATATATATTTGTTTATATTTCAAATACTTTATTTTAAACATCAAAAACAATTAAATACCTATAGCATGGAATATTTCATATCGGATGTACCCCATTTATTTTTTTTCGTTATTCAAGCTTAAGAAAATATTAAAATTATTTGTAGTATTTTATCTTGGTATACCCTTCAGAGAAGTATAGTTTTGTCTCCTATAAGAGAAAATACCATTATCACACCAAAGTTGTCATTTGAAAGGACAGGAAACTGTACAAGGTTTCGCCTATTTATTCTATTATTATTTTGTCATTCGTTTCTCTGGAAGGTGACTTCTCAAACTGTGTTCTGACAAAAAAATTCCTTTATGAAACATTTTCTTCAATGAAAAACCATTAAGTTGTCTAAAATTCTGGTTCACCATTTATTTGTCATCCTAGTTAGAATAGAAGAGCAAATAATTAGAACTACAGGTAATATCTGTGTATATTTATTTATTTTTTTGATTTTATATAATTTTTTTTTGAAAACATTAATTAGGTGTGATAATTACATGAATAGATATAAAAATTTAAAAAAAAAAAACTTACAAAAAATTAATGAAGTAAGAAAAACAGAGAAAGAGAGAGAGATGAAAAAAAAAGTAGAAACATAAAAAGTAAAATTAATTAATTATGCAAATTAAGCGCTCCTTTTTATATTTAATGAAAATAAAATTTTGTTGAGATGGTCCATTGTCTCTCTGCCATTATAACAGACTATATATTCCTTCTATTTGAAACCATACTTAATAAATTGAAATGGCAATAAATGGACAGCAAATTGTGATATACCATTTATTAATCCTCTTAGTAGAATAGTAAATAATCAAAACCAACAATTTTAAAATTATCAATATCACGAAAGTAAGTTATTTCGAAAGTAGAACACTTTACTATTTTTTTTTTTTTACTTATTCTTTGGCTGCTTAAGATATCTTTACTAATTGAAAAATTACCGTCGACGTTTCAATTATATTATTTTAATAATATCTCTTGATTATTTCTATGATATTTTCATTCTAATACTAAACCGTTCTGATGCACTTTTAGGAGTTTATTGGTGATTATTAAGATGGTACAATTTTCAATTATTATCAATAAATAATTTTTCCTTTTTTATTGTAAAAATATGTGAGTATAAAATAGCATAATAAGATAAATAAAAGCTAAACATTTCCTTCTAATTGATTATTTTAATTTTTTTTTATTTAATGGTCCAAAGCATGGATGCATCAGTAAATGGATCATCAAAATATAAGTGATATTGTTAATGGTGAATTAAATCAGAAAGATCGTTATTATAGATCGATCCTTTTACTGATCCATCAGGAATATTACGAGTAAGAGGAGAACGAAGTAGATTTATTTGGAAATAGAGGAAAAATAAGAATAACAACAATTTCTAAAAGCTATTAGATAGGGAAAGGTTTAGAAGATTTGAAAAATTTGGGATCAATTGAGTCGAAATATATTTGATGAAATAACGCTAAGAACAAGGATAGTGATTTTCTTATTTGCCTATGAAGAGCTGTCATAAAACAGCTCAGACAGAAGGCACTATTCGTGGCTGGAGCCTAATTTTTTTCTTTATTTAGCTTCATATTTTTTAATTTTTTTTTAAGTATATAAGCGGGGTGATTTTAAGAGAAGATTATTTCATCAATGAAAAATGAGGAATAGATCTAAGAAATGAGATAGTATATCAACAAAGAGTTTCAGATTTTTAGATCATCAATTCGAGTTTCTACAAAAAATTTACTGTGGTGTTAGGATGATCTTATAGAAGATTTTGACCAAATCATGGAACCACAGGCGGATCTACGAGGAGAATTTGGGGCTGAAGCCTTCCCCCAAAATGGTAAAATATAACCATGTTTTATGGAAAAAAGTATTAAAAAATTATCTCTTAAAGTATTATCGTTCGTGTAGTTACATTTAAAATGACTTAAGAAATCACTTAAACACCATTTCATAAAGATAGTTAGTTTCTTTCTTTGTTTCCAAAGTAATTATCGTTATTTTTATGAAAAAATAAAGCTTTCGGACAGAAGTCCCCCCTCCCAAATTAAATCCTGGATCCGCTAGTGCATGGAACAAATGGAATACACTGGATTCTGAGAGGTCAAAAAGTATTGAAAGAAAGCTATTGTAAAAAGTTACCAGCTGTTGGATAAGTGAAGAAGTCGAGGAGGTGATGGCCGACCAGATTAGGTGTGGGCCCCAGATTGCTCGGTTTTGAACGATTTGGGTTCGATCTCTATCTGGCTTAGTTATTATTTATTTCCAAGTGACAGCTCTTTTAACCAGGGTTTCAAACCGATTGATAACAACGCTTCAAATTATTTCACAATGGTTTATTATTTCCAAACAATTATACTTCTAATAATTTAGTGCTAATGCATTATCTTCCTACTAACATAAAGAAAAAGAAACAAAAGATGATTCCTATTATTGGCCTGAGCATTTTTTTTTTCATCATTAGATTTTTCTAAAAAAAAAATAGCATTGCCTCAGTAAAACTTTCGAAAATCAAAACAAAGGATGTAATCTTTGCTCAAAATTGTCTGATTTCAAGGATTTATTATTATTATTATTATTTTTTTTTTTTTTTTTGAGGAAGAGACTAACCAAGTTTTAGTGAAATCGGTACGTCGTTTAGGCGCCACAGTCTATAGCAAAACAGGTTTTTCGGCCGCCACCTTGAAAGGAAAGGACGGATAGTAATGTCGATGTAGGAGGATCATCCTCGGGCGACCTCTGGCTTTAACTATGTCATTTTACTGATCTTTACTCTATTCATTCTCTAAATCATTCATGTTATCTCCCTTTGGGATTCGTTGCATATCTCCAGACGTCAATACTCCTCGATAAATTCTTTTTAACAACTCCTATTCCGCTACCTATTCTATACGCAAATTATATAACAATTATTTGATGCACATGATTGATAACTATGTCATCATTCTTAAGGGATTTGAGTCTGAAAAATTTTAATGAAAAAAAAAGTGTACATTTCCTACGAGTTTATGCCGTACAATTTATTCACTCTACTATTAAATATTCAAATAAACATCAAGCGATATCTTAATTTGTCTTTTTTTTAGTAAATGTTCTCCAAATTTCCACTGGAGCAGTAATGGGATGGACGTCCCCATCTTTGCCGAAGCTGAACCTTACCACTCATGAGCAAAGTCTTGTTGGATCCCTTTATTCTCTCGGAGCAGCTCCTGGACCTTTCATCGTCACTTTTGGTTTGAACACCATCGGCAGGAAAGGAGTGATCTACGTACTCTGGGCATGCTTCATGTCGTCTTGGATAATAATGGCCAGTTCGCAGAACCTATACGTCATCTACATCGCGAGGTTGATGGGAGGAATTGGTGTTGGAGGTACGTGCTCCGGCGTACCAGTATACATCGCAGAAGTAGCTCTTGTAAGTATAAGTAAATACGTTATTTTAAAAAATAGAATAATCGATTGGTTTCATAGAATTTATGTATAATAAGACTTTACAACTTTAATAGAAATTTAATAACAAATATTAATAATCCTATAGTTGGTTGGTCCTTAAACATCATAAAATACCTATTACGTTTTAATAGAGCTACTGAATAAAGGTTATAACAAACTAATATTTGTTATGATTTTGATACTAATATACAAGTGTCACTCTACCGATGAGTGGCCAAAGATCTCATGGCCACACTATAAATGTAATCCCAAGAGTAGTCTAGTGAGTAAGCTCTCGAAATCATTGCGAATTCGATTATTCATTTTGAGCGAGCAGACAGCAACGATGTTATCAAAGCTAATTAATGCCCTAATTTCAACTGAAAAGGAACTGTAAGGGATTTATTGAAATCGTTTATGACGATCGAAATAAAGGGAGTTTATAATGCGCATAAGTCAATTCCGGCTATTCTCCGAATCCCATGTATAGCGTGATCAAGAGATCTTGGCCCAATGGTCAAAGTGGAGTGGCATTTGTACAGTGGTATAGTAATTGGCTCTAATGGCCTAGAGGTATATTAATCTTTTTGTCTTGCTTGTAGTACAAATCCTTCTAATTTATTAATTCTAATCCTTTTTATTACTTAGTTACTATCACTAGCGTATCCAGGATGTAATTTTTGGGGGGAGGGGCTTCAGCCCAAAGGATTTTTTTCATGTATATAACGATAATTAATTTGAAAAAAAAAGAAAGAAACCAACTGACATCGTGTCTTAGTGATTCTTGAAGTGCTATTAAATGTAATTACACGAACAATAATAGTTTAAGAGATAGTTTTTAATTTTTTTTTCTATTAAACATGGTTATATTTTATCATTTTGGGGGGGGGGCTTCAGCACGAAAGCCCCTCCCCCCCTCCGTAGATCCGCCTGTGGTTACTATTGATGAGTGTCTAAGTGACTAGTCTATCATTAGCATAAGCGCTGATTACTACTCTCAACAAATTGCTATAGTATGAACCACTAGCGGATCCAGGATTTATTTTATTTTTTTGGGAGAGGGCTTCATTCCGAAAGCTTTTTTTTCATACATATATATTTGTGTATATATATATATATATATATATATATATATATATATATATATATATATATATATATATATATATAAAGATAATTACTTTAAAAAGAAAAAAAAGAAAGAAACCACCTACATGAAATGGTGTTTAAGTGGTCCTTGAAGTTCGATTAAATGAAATTAGAGGAATAATAATACTTTAAGAGATAATTTTTCCTATAAAACAGGGTTATATTTTATCATTTTGGAGAGGGGAGAGGGAAGAATACATTACTGTGTATATGGAGAGGAAGGGCATTTCTCCTAATACTAATACTAAAAGTAAACTAAATACTAAGTATACTAAAAGTACTGAATACTAATACTAATACTTAATACTAAAAGGGCATTCATCTAAGCACTAATATTATGGTATTTTGATTTCTCTAAGAAAAGGAAAGTTCACCTAAATAGTAGTCTTAAGGCAGTGTTATCATAAGGGAGATGATATATCATTAATTTTTATCATTTAAGAAAAATTCATATTTAAAAGAATACTCTTGACATCTTATTATAAACTGAAAACAGTGTTTTCCTCTAATTAATTAATAGAACATAACTTTGAAAAAAGTGAATAGTAATATTGTAAAGGATAGAATTAGTGCTAATTGGTATTAGTACGGAAGACCCTAAGTAATTATACACAGCAAGCCACGTTACCAAGAGTCCAACTTGTCACTTTGTGAATGATTATTGGAATGCCTTATTTATTAGTTATTGATAGTATTTGTTTGTTATTGTTTTATTATTTATTATAAAACATACTTTATCTAGTTATGTATTTACTAATTATCATTATTGCTTGTTGGTCAAGTTTTGGTAACTTTTAATGACTGTATAAAAAAAATAATTTATTTTTGAAGTTTGGAGAACTGTGAAACAATTTTAAAATGATGTTAATAATAATGCAAAAATTAAGTTATATTGCTCATTAATTTGTTAAGGATATGAAATGGAACATATTTTTTATAAAAATCACATAGACCTCGACAGACGGATTTTTCCATTGTCTATGTGTTGTTACATTTACATGAGTATTATATTTTGTAATTATTGGCTTTATAAGAATAAATAATATTGGCTTCATTCATTCATAAAGAATGGAATAATTCTTATGTTAAATCAAGCATTAAATTATTAAATTATATTAAATTACAGCCAGAAATTCGAGGCCGCCTTGGATCAACAGGTCTACTGTTCTTAGGAATTGGATCTCTGGTGATGTATGGAGTAGGACCGCAAGTCAGTTATACCATTCTGGCTTTGTGTGGTCTTGCAATGGCTGCTATTTTCGGAGTGTTCTTCTACTTTGTCCCAGAGTAACCATACTACTACTGTAAAAAAGGAAAAAGGAAAGAGGCTGAAGAGGCTATTCAAAAGCTAAGAGGCTATAAGACTCGTGAAAAGCTAGAAGAAGAACTTGCTCAAATTGAAGTTAGTAACAAAAATCAGAAAGTTATTAATATTAGATCTTATTATTTGTAATTTGTATTCATTATTTTTGTTTTCAGAGAGCAATCCTGTTGGAAAAAGAGAACTCTGTCAGTTTTCTGGTAGGTATCAGAAAGCCAGTCGCATTGAAGGCTTTAGGTCTTGGCATTTTTGTTGTGGCAATGCAGCAATTCCAAGGAGTAAATCCTATAAATGCCTACAACCAGATTATTTTTGAGCAAGCTGATCTAAACTTCCCCGCCAAACATGTACCAGTTATCTATTTATTTGTCGGAATGGTATTTTTACTCCTGCCAGTATTATTGGTCAACAAGCTGTTTGGAGTAAAAACTGCTTATATAGCATCAGGATTCGGAGCCAGTATCTCGTTGGTAATTGTCATTTATTCAAAATAATATTTTTTTTTAAATTAATAATCATGCTATTAAACATTATAAGACAATTATTGAATTTCCTATTATAGTTGGGAAAAACCTTAGGTTCAGAAGTTCTTCTTCTTCTTAATTTTGGCCTTTTCTACCGTGGAGCAGTGTAAGGGGTGCCTGCTTGTAGAGCCTGATCCATGAGTCTCGATTCTGTACCAGCTTGTTATTTTCCAGTCCATTCCTCTCCTGCCAGGAATGCCTCCTGGACTGCTTCTTCTCAAATATTTCTGGGTCCTTCCTCTTGGGCTTTCTCCCTCAACACTCATTTCGTTGATAGTTTTGGAAATTTACTCTCCCTGCATCCTTTTAACATTACCAAACTCCATTGCTGAATATCTTTTTATATGTACGACTGATTTTATTTCCAAGTTAATTATAATAATTTGTCGTACTTCGAACCCTATCCCTTCTTTTATTTTGTTCTTCTTCTACAAGTACCTCATCTCCATCGCTTATATTTGGCTTCCATGTCTTGATGTCAGAGTTCAGGATTCACTGGCATAGGTCAGTATGGGTATGGAGGGGTGCCATCCCCCCAAGGTCGCTGGCAAAAGAGTCTCTCCTTCCTCATTCCAAGATATTTTATTTCTCTCCTCTTCTTAATTACAGAGCAAACAAAAGTAAAATTTAAAAGGTCATAGATCATATACAGTTACACTTACTGCGGTCTGTTTTTCTATTGTCCATAGTTTGAAACCTTCCATTCCAAAAATTCATGACACTGCCGAAATGCGCTCCTTCAAAAATTTAATGCCTCAACAAAATGTGACCCCCTGAAAAATTTTGATGGCACAACTTGCACCATGAAACCCTCTTCTGGGCAATCTTGGTGGTATGAATGTCACCTTATAAGGTATATATACTAATTTTATGACCTTTTTACAAACTTCTTTCTATCCCAGGAACCAGACTTGAGTGAATGAAAGCATTCATCCCTTGCTTCATGACATATTTGTAAAACATCTATTACTGACCTGAAGAACTCCTCCAGGCCAAAGAGATTCCCTTCTCCTTTCTCAACCGAGCTTGGAACTGGCTTTGGCAGAGTTAGGTTCATTCCAATTATATTCAGAACCTACAGTTGATTGGAATGAAATTTTCTGTTATACAATACCCTTAAGTTTATTAGGAACATTTTGGAACATCATGTTCAACATATTGGGAATATTGGTAGGAAAAAAAGGATGAACTGAATAAAAGTTTCATTCTCTTTGGTCTTCTTACATGCAGCCAACAGAAATCTCAAATGAATCAATAATTGGTTTATATATTCATTAAATCCAATTTAGGATTTGTTTGCTTATTAATTAATCTTTTAATAATATAGTAACCATACACTAAATATATTTAATCTTATGTATAAACTTAACAATATAATTTTATGTATATATATTTAATTATAGAATCATTTATTTACTGATTTATGAATAAATTATTACTTATGATCGTAAGTTTTACAAGACCAAATGAAATCTTGCTCAGTTGATGTATAAAGATGTAAACCATTATTTCTAATAATGTTTCCTTTTGTGTTTTGTAGGCTCTCTTAGGTCTATACTTTTACTTGATCAATAGTGGTGGTGTAGATATGCATGACTACAGTTACATTTCCGTAGTGTTCCTGGTTCTGTTTTCGCTATTCAGTCATCTTGGTATGCAGTAAAAAAATATTTTTCTATTATAGTTTAATTTTTTATGATAATGTTCAATATAACTATTTCAATCAAAGATACTCTATTCAAGACTTCAATAACACCTTAGCATTTCACTGTAGATAGACAATCAACATTTTCTCAAGTATTTTTTTGTATCCGAACAGTTTTCTCAAGTAATGGTTACTATGATTTATAATACGACGAAAGTGTAAAATCTAGTCACATAGAATCATAAAAAATTTTTTTGTTCTGTTTATAAAATATAATCCATTACCTTAATGGCATAACATTTCTTATACCTGAACTGTCATTATGAAAAATGTTCATACCTTACAATACATATAAACATATATCTAACAAATTAATGTAAGTTCCTTTTGTTTTATTTTAACTACCATCCTTTCCATTTGTTATGTTGTTTCTTAATTTTATAATATACGACAGTAATAGTGTGAATAATTATTATGTATATTCTTTAGGTGTCTCACCTTTGTCCTGGCCAATTGTTGCCGAAATCCTGCCACTGTCAGTAAAAGGAGTTTGTACTGGAATCTGTGGCTGCATTAGCTCACTCATCGGATTCCTTTACTTGGCAGTTTTTCCCAGTATAGCCAAGAATTATGGATATTCTACTGACTTTTTTGGGTAAATAATTAATTTTATTTATAAAATAATATATTTTATAATAACCATATATCAATATTGCTTTTCATGCAAATATGTCTACGGTTTTATTTTTAAACTAATTCAACTATTCAAACGAAAATATCATAATTAAAAAGAGAATATCCTTATAAATTCAGCTAATCTTGGTCTGTGAACATAAAGGGGTTTGTAGGATAACAAACTAAAGAACATTAACAGAGTGACAAATACTTATGAAGTTTGTATATATATATATATATATATATATATATATATATATATATATATATATATATATACAAAAGGAATTATATATAAATCTCTAGTATTTCAATATCATAATAAATGTGTAATTTAAATATAATAGCACATCTCTGAAACAATTTTTTGTTTAGGTTAAAGACATAGTATGATGAGTGAATATATTCTGTTTTTTTTTTTTTAATTTTATTCTAAAAATGGATAATTGAATAATTTTTGATTAGCAACATAGAAAAATAAATTTTTCAAAAGTTTAAAATACATTTTTTCTTTATTTTAAATAGTTAGAAGGGATGTTAATTTGGATGGAATTGTTACAGAGATATGCATACAAGAGAAAGATTCAGAATTATAAATAAAGACTGTACTGAATGAATTAAGTAAATGTTTTTTTTTCCAACAGGATTGCTACAATATTGTTTTTGGCAACGACAGTTGCCATGTTCATCTTACCAGACACAACTGGAAAGACCCTACAAGAAATTCAGGAGCTTCTGGCAGAATGAAAAATTCTTCAAAAAGTATCGATAAAAAATAGATCTGTTACAATAAAAAGACTTTTTAAAATTATACTTTGTTATCAGTATGGTTTTGCTATTTTAAAGTGTATATAATTATTTTTTACTTTTCAATAATTTCTGCACCACCTTAGTTTAATGTTTCTTATTCGGTGCCTTAAATTTAGCCAATCCAGTCAATCAGTTGTATTAATTGAAGATATTACATGTTTTGGATCACATTCAATATATATTTTTTTTCTTTTAAACTAAATGTTTTCATTCATTTTTTTCAAATAACTAAACAGCTCCATTCCATTACATCCAATCCACTTCCTTAGCACATTTCACAAGTCAAAATTTAGAAAGAAGAAAAGGAGACATTCAAAAGCAGATACGATTAGCCACTTATGATAATAGAATTGATTTTAAATTTAATTTCAATGAAACTTAATTTTTCATTTATTTACATTGTGTGGAATCCTCGAACTTCTAGGGACTTTACAGCTGCTAGTTTTTAACAAATATATATCATGGGGATCCTAGTGGATCCTATCTCACAGGATGATGTATAACTCATACGTAGGCTTCTCAAAGCTAAAATCTATTTAAGATATAATGAGGCACAACCAAGAAGAGGAACTGGTGTTCAGGAACTCTGGATAGCAGCCACTTCATGATCGGTTTCTCCTTACTTGTAGTAATGATTACTGGGAAATTGCCTATGGTCGCAGGTTTATGGTGATGTGCTATACCAAGCTACTCTAGCCCAGTAGAATTGCTATTACACTGGAGGCTGAGGCAATGAACACAGTCAAGATTCTGGGCTACCAAAATCACATCTGGTTGAAATTTGTCTGTGGCGGTTTTTGGGAACTGAAGATGAACTAGAGCACTTAAGAGCAATCTTTAGAGTGTCAAAATTAGTTGTTCATATAAGTTCATGAGAAGCACATTAACTATGAACTTGTCGGTTGGACAGTTTAGAGGGTTCCTCAACATCTACAGAGAGTAGTCTTTCTTCACAGAAGAAGCAGGCGCCTTATTCTTTCAACTTAATATTCAACACCATAAGTCGACTGAATTAACTAAGCTATTTTCGGGGTTTAAATCCACCTTCATACTAATAGAAAAACCTTACTGTTTTAGGGGAATGATTAACACTTAGAGAGAAGTGAAGGAAGAATCATCCATCCTCCCTTAGGTGAATACAAGAGACATCATAGCCTTGATACAACCAAGGTAGGCAATAATAAGATTATTCGATCTATAATTAGAAGATAAAGTTATATATTTTTGTCCCTCATAATTTGCACTTTTCGGATTTGCCAAAAAATATAACAAAATATATATCACAATAAATGCTAATATATATTAACATTTTGTAAATTTATTTTTAATTATTCATTATAAATAATCAAGTCAATAATTTATATGAATGATATAAAAAAATTTTTTTGTCCATCGGCCTCCCCAAGCAATCAAAATAGAATGTCTGCACCAGATATTAAGATATTTTTCTTTTTTAATAAAAGAGATATAGTTTTCATCAAACTTTCGAAGCTCAATAATAAAGATTGTAAAAGTTGTGCTCTATCTTTATCGCTTCTTTAGCGATACGAATCACTAAGTGATTGTCATAGTTTCTATTAGTTTCAAGTAAAGTATAAATTCGAGGGTAAAAATCTTAGAGTACATTATGGAATTTCTAGAATACTAAAATTACCATATGTTTAATATTGGAGATTATCCCAAAATACTGACAGTAACAATTCCGGCAGACGAAATCTCGACACTTATATGCCCAATAGCCAAAAAGAGCACAAATTATAATCGGAATTGTGGTTGTCCTAATTTTAGTAACCACACCTGAGAAATGCTTATTTACTTCATTTAAATTTAGTGAACATTGTCATTCCGCACATAGCCTGGTTTCTTCGCTGTTTCGTCAAATTCAGTCAAAATGGTATTTGGAAAATATTTTGTTATATACATATTTTTTTACTTTCACTTACCTATATATCAAATATATAGAAAAGAAAAGCATTGCGATCTTGAAATTTTTCTAATCCGAATTTTCAACGGAAATATGCGTTATGATGTCCCCTGAGTCGAAATAACCAAGTCTCGCAAAATTGTCTGTGTGTCTGTGTTTGTGTCAGTGTATACCGCATAATAACTTGCACGAAATGGAAATTGGGTATTTAAGGTTTGTATATGCCTGGGATGTTTAAGCAACTTTTACGACTAAACCGTTTACCGAAAGTACCACTTTATATCATCAATTTTACACATTTTTACAATTTCCTCAAAAACAGCTCTAATGACTTTGATTAAATTCATTATGTGAGTGTAAATTTGTATGATTTTTAATATAATGTAGGTCTTATTCTCATTGATATTCTCAAAAAAGGTTTAAATGCATAATTTTCAAAATTTCTTCCTTTAATGAATTAATTATACAGTTTCACGCTACTTTATTATTAATCATAATTAGGGATTTTAAATAAAAACTGATGTAAAAGATTTTACGAATTTACCTTACATTTTACGAAAAATGTCAAATATTTTCTGTACTCAAAAAGTGCAATGTTCAAAATCTTATAAGCCGTTACAATTGAAAACACGGACGGATCTACGAGGGGAGGGGGCTTTGGGGCTGAAGCCCCCACCCCCAAGATGGTAAAGTATGTTTTATTTGAAAAAATATTAAAAAATTATCTCTTAAAGTATTATTGTTCGTGTAATTACATTTAAAAGGACTTTAGGAATCACTTAAACACCATTTCATATAGGTAGTTAGTTTCTTTCTTTTTTTTCCAAAGTATTTTTCCAAATTTTTATGAAAAAAATGCTTTCGGGCTGAAGCCCCCCTCCAAAATTAAATCCTGGATCCGCTAGTGATTGAGAGTGTGGCATATTTAAATTTTACATTATTAATGGGTTAGAAGTTCTCTGAGCCACCATGTAACAGATTGAAAAAAGTGATGGGTTATTATAAGTGGAAGAAAGAAATATGCTGAATATCAAATAAAGCTGGGAATATTAAAAATGTTCAATGACTTTTTTGATGGTTTATAATTTGTTTACTTGGTTGCGTTCCGCTGGATACAATGTTTTATTTTATATATCCTGGCAAGTTTCATTAGATAGTCATAGATAAGTCACTTGTTTCATATATCTGTGCACTCCAGAAGATATGAAAGTTGATAGATGATCGTACTATCTTGTCATTTTTTATCTTTTAAAATTTGGATTTTGACAAGGTCAAATAGACAATCTATGCAGGGTTGCCAGATTGGAGTTTTTCCACCCAAAATTTAGAATTTTTATAGTAACCGTGGGATGAAACAATTATTGATAGTAGTAACAAAATGAAACAGTTACCATGCTGACTATGTTTATGGATAAACATAGATAAAGAGATAGAGAAAATGTGTTCATCGGCATAAAGTAACCGGCAAATGCTTCAGTCCACGATTGGGAACCTTGATTATGCCAGTCCGTTCCAAGGGTATAATCATTGATGCGAAATCGCGTTGGACAGAAGTTATGATGTGCAAAAATGCGCCGAAAACAAAAGTACATTCGAATTACTAAACGAAATATTTTCGCACATGGCTATCTATTTGTGCTATAATCCGAAAACGCATTTCACTAATGAAACCTTCAGAAATTATTGCCGAGAAAATGGCATAAAGCAAAAATGTATGATTGATAATTGAACTGAACGCGATAAAAAAATTTAAAAAAAAAAACGACTCAGAAAACTTACCTGTGAAACAAAAGATAGTGGAAAATACGTCTTCATTATCGAGCAACATCATTGGCCGATGGATCATCATCAGGAGAAAAATATCTGAACCGGCTAATAAGATTAGATGTCTGAAGACTGTCGTCGCGAAAAGTGGAGTCAGAGAAAATACATGATTTTTTAACAACAAAGTGAAATGGAGACCAGAAAAAATTATTAAACAGCTGCTTCTTGATTATATAATACATCTTGATGGAGAGTGAAAAATAAAAAGACGCATCGATCAACCTAAAGAAACTGGAAGATAAAAAGATCACATTTGGAATACTATTACAACACAGAAAAGAAACAAAAATATTTTCATTAGCCAAGACCTAGATATCCAGTACTGGTACAGGTGGGGGAACTTAGTCCGGCAAGTGGGCCTATTGGTCCTTTTTGTAAACCCTAAAATTTGATACTACCAGTGGTTGTCTATTGTACCTCTATTCTGTCTCAAAACGTTTTGTTACTTGTGTGGAGGTCACTTTGGGAGACTGCTATGCTTGTAGTGCTGACTGACTATCCGAATAGATAGTAATGCCAGCATTCTCGTAATTGGTAACTTCTAAACAGGTGACTGCAGAAAGTATAGCAAATACCTCTGCTTGAAATACCGTAGCATGTTTACCTAGTGGCATGCTTAATGCTATATTTAGGTTCTCTACATAGACTCCTGCCCCCGTTAAACTAGTAGAGTCTTTCCTTGAACCATCAGTAAAACAGGGCAGGTAGTCCTTTTGAGTCTCTACAGAACCCTGTTCCCAATCTATTATGTTAGGATACAGGTAGCTGAAATCCAGGACTAGAATCCATATCAGAGCTAGAAGAAACTGCTGATCCATAATATATACCAGAAACGACTCTAGAACGGGATAACATTTTTAACACAATACCAGAAGAAGAATCCATACCTGAAGCTACCCCACGACCAGTACAGCTTAAGAGATCGAGGAGTAAATACATTTGTATCTGGATTAAATACAAAGCAAATAACCCTGAAAATTACTGAATGGTTTAATATTTCCAAACATTTATATAGCAAAGGTAGTATAGCCCACAATTGGTCTTGCAAAGTGCAAGACCAAGACCACCACCGCCTACCTGATGCAAGATCAAGACTAGTAAAAAAAAAAATGATTTTTTGAATAAAAATTGAGGCAAAATATTTACTAATACTTGACAATTTTAATTACTGTATGTAAAGAATTGGTGTAACCAATATACTTTTGCATTTAACTCTCTTAATTTTTCGTTCAGACTTGGTTAGGTTTCTCCCATCTAAAAAAATACAGTAATATATCACTAGTAATAAACTAATAGCGCAAGACCAAGACCTAGACCAAGACTGAGTTTGCAAGACCAAGACTCGTCTTGGTCTTGCAAACTTTCCAAAAATAAAAAAATCTGGTGCGCGCAACATACAACTTTAACTTACCGCTCTACTTTGAATAGATATTATTTCCTGGCAATGTTGAGTA